TTGACGAAGAAGTCTGACCATCTGGTAGGTGGGCGGCCACGCGGTCTTTTGACATCCCGTGGAATCCAGTCCGTAACAGCTCTAGTCCAACGGTCGTCTTTAAATCTCATTACGTGACCAGCCCATCTGATTTTCGACACCTTGGCAAATGAGACAGCGTCCCTGATCCTTGATCGTCGACGGATGTCAGAACTCCGGATTCTTTCTCTCATTTGAGTGAAACGTGATATTCCAAGCATAGCTCTTTCTATTCTTCTTTGGGAGACCTGAATAGCGTTCTCATCCTGTTTGCGTAGGGCCCAGGTCTCTGAGGCATATGTTAATGCAGGAAGAACAGTGGAATCAAAGAGATGTGCCCGGAGCCGGAGGTTCTTCGTCCTCTTAGCTATTTCTTCGACGTTCTTGAAGGCATTCCAAGCCGCTCTCTTCCTCCTGCGCAGCTCGGGTGCCAGGTCATTTCTCATGTTGACCTCTCGACCTAGGTACACATAGCTGTTGCATTCGGAGATGGTCGTTCCATTGAGAGCGAATGGGGCGTCAGGAACAAGGCTGTTTCTCATAAACATTGTTTTCGTAAGATTCAGCTGTAGTCCTACCTTTCCACACTCACGGTCAAAGTCGGCCAGCATTTGTGCCGCTTGGCTGATGTTTTGTGTTATTAGAACGATGTCATCAGCAAAGCGGAGGTGGTGTAGTTGCCGACCATCTATCTTCACTCCCATTCCTTCCCATTGCAGTTGTCGCATGATGTTCTCAAGGGTGGTACTGAAGAGTTTCGGTGAAATGGTATCACCCTGCCGCACCCCTCTCTTGACATCAACGATCACTTCTTTGTAGAATGGTGAGATCCTGGTAGTGAATCCGCAATACAGCTCACGGAGGATCCTGATGTATTGGGCTTGAATGCCCTGATTGGCTAGGGCTTCAATGACCGCTTCCGTCTCAACAGAATCAAAGGCCTTCTTTAAATCAATGAACGTTAAGCAGAGCGGCATCTTGAACTCCCGAGAAACCTCAATGAGCTTGGTTATTGTGTGGATATGGTCGATGGTGCTGAATCCTTTGCGGAACCCTGCTTGCTCGCATGGTTGTCCTTCATCTAGTGTTCTGCCAATCCTATTTAGGATGACTCGATTGAACAACTTGTAGATGACAGACAATAGGCAGATCGGGCGATAGTTGCCAATGTCATGGATGTCTCCCTTCTTAAACAGTAGTACGACAATAGCCAAAATCTGGAAAAAACCTGAGTGCCCGAGAACAGATGACTGGTTAAAGAAGCTTTGGTACATTTACACAATGGAGTACTATGTAGCTGTTAGAAAAGATGAAGTTATGAAATTTACATACATGTGGTACTACATGGGAAGTATCATGTTAAGCGAAATGAGTCAGAAAGAGCGGGATAGACACAGAAAGATTGCATTCATCTGGGGAACATAAAGCAACAAAACGGGAGACTAACACCCAGGAAGGGCTCAGATTAGTACCAGGAATTTTGCTCCATGACTTGAAGGCCAGCCACATGTGCTAGGTGAGAAGGAAGCTCAGATAGAGAAGAGAGCACCAAATAAAGGGTGCTGTGAAGACCTTCCCAGGGTGGGAGAGACATGCTAAAAGTGGTCTATAGACCAAACATGACTGCCACTCAATGCCTCTCTGGCAAAACACAGTACCCAAAAGAAGAGAGAGAGAACAGGGAGGAATGCCCTGCCACAGCGGCAGGGTGGGACGGGGGGAGGGGAGGATGGGGGGTCGGAGGGATGCTAGGACCTGTGGTGGGGGAGGATGGGCACTGGTGGAGGGATGGGTACTTGATCATTGTATAACTGAAACCCAAGCACAAAAATTTGTGAGTCTATAAGTGTACTTCATGGTGTTTCACTAATAAAAAAAAAGATAAAAAAAAAAAGAAGAGCCTCAAATAAAAAAAAAAAAACAGTAGTACGGTCCTGCTGGTTTTCCATTGGGACGGAACCTTGCATTCAGATAGGTAGCGAGTGAAGAGCCGAGCCAGTGTATTGATGAGTACTGATGGCAAGTTCTTCAGATGTTCAGGTCTGACCTTGTCTGGACCGGGTGCTGTTTGTTTCACCCTACCCAGATAAATACCCCACTGGCAGACTTCCACTCTCGACACTACTTCCACTAACCAGTCGTCGCCACACTCCAGGACGCTTTCCGGACCCGCGCGGCCGCTCCGGCCGAGACCCACGCACGACTGAAGACCCACAGAACAAGATAAGCGGAACTCTCTGAGACCTTGGACTCCAGGCTCGGTGGACCCAGGGACAGAGCTTCTCTACTTGCTCCCACCACCACAGGTGACAAAGGGATTCTAATCAGGAGCCCCACCGTATCCTGCCCTGTCTGCTTCCATCAACCACCCAGGGATCGAATTGTGCACAGGAGACCCACCCTACCCAGATAAATACCCCACTGGCAGACTTCCACTCTCGACACTACTTCCACTACCCAGCCGTCGCCACACTCCAGGATGCTTTCCGGAACTGCGCGGCCGCAATTGGCCGCAGGACACATCATAAGATACTAAATACCCATCTTCCGGAATTGTCGTACCATATTTGATAGGGTTCAAATATGGTAACACCTACAAGGGTGATTAGAGGTCGCCCCAAAAGCCTCTATCCCTCTCGGAAAGACTGGCAAGCTACCGAGAGTATTCCGTCCGCATGGAAGAGCCTGGCAAGCTATTCGCTGTGTATTCGATATACCAAAACCAGTAACTACAACTGGTCTCATTCACCTGACCCTGAAGGCTTCACCGACATGGCAGCACTGAGAAGGATGAGAAAGGAGAGGCCGGCAAAATCTCAAGGCCGACCTAGGCTGCCACAACGAAGGAAGACAAAAATGATCGTCTGTACTTTCAATGAACATACGCTAGCATCAGATGCATCCATCGAGGACCTGATGGTACAAGCGCGAATGATCAAGTACGACATCATTGGTCTGACCGAGACAAGAAGGCACGAATCTCACCATGCCGTTTTCAACACTGGAGAAGAATTGTTCCTCGGAACATGCGATAAAAGAGGTGTTGGAGGCGTAGGTGTCCTTGTCAACACAAACTTGGCCAAGAGCATTGATTCATTCGAATGCCTAACAACCCGAATCGAATCGGATGTTTACATTTGAATAGATGTGGCTCACTGCCTACAGTTTCTATCTTCGTTGTCTACACACCAACATCTCATTATGATGAAAGAGAAATCGAGAAGTTCTACATGGAGCTAGAGAAGTTCTATAAAGAAGACCACACCTTCTACAAGATCATTGTGGGTGATTTTAATGCCAAGATAGGACCGAGAAGATCAGCTGAAGAACTTCACATCGGGACCCATGGCCTAGAATGGAACGAACAGGGTGAGAGACTGTCTGCGTTCATCATGTCGACCAAGACCATTCATGGTAACTCACAGTTCCAGAAGGCAGAATCTAAACGATGGACATGGGAGTCTCCCGGTGGACGATTCCACAACGAAATAGACCACATCATATTCAATCGACGGTTTTGCCTGACTGATGTCACTGTTGTCCCAAAATTTCGAACGGGATCGGACCACCATCTCCTTCGTGCAAAATTCTACTTCACAGAGCGGGGAGAAAGGGCTGCAAAGTTCAAAAAGAGAACTCCCAGAATGACCACCAACTGGGAACTCTTTGGTACTATTGCGGCAACATGGGAAGATGCCATTGTTGACAACATTGACGAGGAATACGATCGACTGGTTCAGCACCTCCACGAATGTGCGAGGAACGCCAAGAGAGAGATAGCCACAAAAAATCGCCTATCTTCGAAAACTCTTGAGCTAATTCGCCAGCGTGGTTTGGCGCATGCCTCAGGCAACCGCAAGCTAACGTCCGAGCTCGCAAAGCAGTGCAGAGATGCGATCAAGGAAGACCTCAAAGAGAGAAGAGCAGAAGTACTGGTAGATGCGGCAGAAGCTGGGAAAAGTATTCGTAACGCCCGCCTGTCCTTCGCCAACTATAAGACCAAGATGACTGCCCTCCAACGTCCTGATGGATCCATCACATCCTCCAGAACGGCAATGGAGAAGATTATCCATGACTTCTACTCAAATCTCTTAGATAGCCATGTCCACTTGCCGACATACCAAATTCCACAGGATGGATATGTCGTTCCCAACGTTCTCCCTTCCGAAATCCGACACGCCATTTCGTCTTAAGCTCATCTGCACTAAACCTGGTAAAGCCCCACCTCTTGGAAACTGCATCTTCTGGCAACCAGAGAACTTACACTTGGCCCATCCCACAGACTCAATCACAATAATCATGGTATTTTGAAGTCAACTTTCACATCATTCTTGGGCTTTATTTTGTGTCATGTGAACCCACTTGAGAGAGCAGAGTGATGGTACATCGGTTAGGGCACTTGCCTTACACAGGGCTGACCCGGGTTAAATCCCTGGCATCCTATCTCAAGCAATATCAGGAGCAATTCCTGAGTGCAGGACCCCAGGAAGCCCTGAGCATCTCTGGGTACGGCCCCAAACCAAAAGAAAAAAAAATCACATTTTAGTCTTAGAAGGGAGAACTGTTTTTCCTCCAGAAGGATCGATACTCCTCCTACGTTAATGAAACCTGGATACAGCTGAGAATATTATTTCTCTTTTTGTTTGAGATTTTAGCCATTGTGACCAGAGTCTGAAGAGTTGATCTCTCAGTCATCTAGGGAGGGTCTCTTGGGAGGGTCTCTAGGGAGAGTCGAGGAGGGTCAGGTAGGGTCAGGAGGGTCAGGGTGGGTCTCCTCCCAGTGTACATAAGAGGCAGGACTCCTCCGAGGTTTATGTGGTATCTGCCTGAGAAGAAGCTGCAGTGCAGGACTCCATCAGACTTCCAGAACCTTCCAGGACACATCCATTCCTGGGACAATGGACCACTCCCACCATCACTCCGGGATGAGCGCCATAGGCCACCCCAGTGACCCGGCCCCTCCACCCCAGCCTCCGGCAACCATGGAGCCCCACTCCCACGGGGGCATCGCACACACGATGCCCATGACTTTCTACTTCGGCTACAGGAACGTGGAGCTGCTCTTCTCGGGGCTGCTGATCGACTCGGCTGCGGCCATGTCCGTGGCTGTCGTGGCCGTGTTTCTGCTCGCCCTGGGCTATGAAGGACTCAAGAGAGCCCGCGAGAGGTTCGGCGCCCAGTACTCGACTTTTCCCAGACCTGACGGAACCCTCCCCAAGGTGACACCCAGGCAGCAGGTGCTGAACGCCACTCACCTCCTACAGATGGCGCTGCACATGCTCCAGGTGGGCCTGAGCTACCTGCTGACGCTGACCACTATGACCTACAACACCTACCTCGGCCTGGCCTTGCTGGCAGGGGCTGGCATCGGCTACTGGCTCTTTGGCGGGAGGATGGCAGAGGACGTGGAGTCCCAGACCCATGACGTGAACAAGGTCGAGCTCCATGAGATTTGCAGCGGAAACTCTCCTGGCCTGCAGGAATGAGCCCTCACCTCCTGTCTCTCCTGAGCCCTCTGGATCTCAGCGGTTCTGAGTTTGACAAGCTCAAGAGGCGACTGCTCCTGGACACTGTTTCCTGTGAGTGGAAACACTCACAGGAGATGAAGCCCCTGGACCGCCCAACATCCTGGTTCCTGGTCCACGTTCTCTGTCTTGTGTAATGCATGAACTCCATCCCTGGCTCCCCGGGATTTATGCTTTTGTTTATGTATTGTGCTTATGATGGCTTCTTTTTTCCCCTTAGTCATGAAAATTGTTGCCCAGTGAACCCAGAACCCAAACTTCACAATAAAACGCTTGATCTTTTGGGCTCAATGAGGGGGAACTCTCTATAGTGTGTCCTTGTGTGTGATGATCTGGCCAGAAATTTCTAGCATTCACACAGGGTGGGGTGTGAAGATCAGTAGGAGGGGCACTGCCCATGGATGTGTGTTCTGGGGGAGGTTGGCTCTTTCACGGGGTTCCTGCTTCTCTTTGGGTTGCAATAATGTTGTCAATTTGGGAAGATTCTCACTTGGCCAGAGAGAACATACTGGGGGTTGATTGCGTACAGTTAGCAGGGTTCAATCCTCGTCTCCGAGGCTGTTTCACCCTCTTGTATTGGTCCATACCCGATGGCGTATATTTGGAAATCTTATGTAGCACCGGGGAGCATAAACACCAGAGCTGTCAGATTCTGCTTTTGGCATATGGGACATGGAGAATTTGAACTCGCCACCATAGTTGTGTAAGGCAGGCGTTCTCAGCCACAGTGCTCTACCAAAGCAATCCTCCTGTCTTTTGTTGTAGGGTATTTATTATTATTATTATTATTATTATTTATTTATTTATTTAGCTTGGGGGCCAAACCCGCTGATGTCTACGACTGACTTCTAGTTAGTAATTCTGCACTTGTGGCAGGGCTAGGGGGACTATAATGGGTGTCGGGAATCTAACCCAGGTCAGCAGCATGCAGTACATATGTCCTACTCTCTGTAATATGATTCAGGCCCCCAAAGCTATATTATTTGATCTTCACACCTGGCCACTATTCTTTGCAATTCGCTTAATGGGTGGCATAAAGAGAGATTATGCAATGGTCAGGCTTGCCTTGCATGTGGCTGACCAAGCTTCAATCCCCAGCCCTCCATATGGTTTTGTGAGCCCACCAAGAGTGATCCCTGGAGAAAGAGCCAGGAGTAAGAAAGGAAGCCCTGAGCACAGTCAGGTTGGCCCCAACTCCTGCCCTCACAAAAGGGGTGCTTCTCCTTAAGCACAACACTAACCAATCACTCTCAAAGGCCCAACCCCAAAACCATCACAGCCAGAGTTGGATTTCGCACAACTTTTTTTGGCAATAACCATTCACTCACGAGCAATAGTTTCAGATTCATTTTGATTCACCTCAATATCAAACTCAACAAGAGCCTTGTGCAATGAATTTTGATATATGGATCACTTTGAAGCAAACAGGTGTTTCCATTTGTATTCCTCATTTATTTTGAGGGGCTACGGTTTCCCCACAGGACTGGACCTAGCAGAGGAGGACCAGGCTGTTTCTTGAAGGCCATGGAAGTGACAGAGCCCTGGCCGCAAGCACAGCAGCGAGACATGAGCCCTCAATCAGTATTTGTCCACTTAAGGTGTTAGAAATTGCCATTTTTTTTTTCCTTTGTTGTTCATCGGTGGGTTGTTTACTCTGCGTTGGCTTCTTTGTCGTGGTTGGTTTGGGGGCTACATGTTGGGATGTTCTGGGGATAATCCTGGCTCAGGACTCAGGGCTTGCTCCTGAAAGTGTTCAGGGAGCCCTGCAGAATTACTGTCTTTGCTGTTATTCTCTAGTTGAAGCACTGTCATAATTTCCCTTAGATTTTTTTGGACAGAAATGTGATAGTTGGGTTGGAGTGATAGCACAGCGGATAGGGTTTTGCCTTGCAAACGGCCCGACCCGGGTTCGATTTCCAGCATCCCATATGGTCACCCAAGCACACGGCCAGGAGTAATTCCTGAGTGCATGAACCAGGAGTAACCCCTGTGCATCGCTGGGTGTGACCCAAAAAGCAAAAAAAAAAAAAAAGAAAGAAAGAAAGAAATAGGATAGTTGCTTCAAGAACCTTGTTTTCTAAAACCGCCATCTCAGATCATTTATAATAATTATACCCCAAGTGTATGGTCACATTTTTCTGTGCTTTTGGAAACAAGTCGCACATATAGCATTTCTATGTTCAGATCTCCACTTTTATCAGCTTGTGTGATTTTTTTTTAATTTGGTTTATGTGCTGAAGCAATAGTACAGTGGTAGGGCATTTCGCCTTGTACTCGGCCAACCTGGCAGACACGAGTTTGATTCCTCCACCTCTCTTGGAGAGCCAGACAAGTTACCATGAGTATCTAGGCTGCAGGGCAAAGCCTGGCAAGTACTTATTCGATATGCCAAACACAGGAACAACACAGTAACAACAGGTCTCACAATGGAGCTGTTACTGGGCCCACTCGAGTAAATAAATTAACAATGGGAGAACAGTGCTATAGTGCTATTTGGTTAATCGGGGTGGTAGAACTACACTCAGTGATACTCAGGGACGAGCCCTGGCTCTGTGCTCAGGAGTGACTCCTGGAGAGCTCAAGGAACATTTTGTGTTGGTAGAAGCCAAAGGCTCTGGTTGCTTGCAAGTAAGGCAGGCACCTTATTTCCTGCACTGTGTCTCTGGTCCCGAGTTTGTAGGATTTATGCGCGGGCAGTCAAGAGTGGTAACATGCTACTTAGATTGTGTGTTGTCTCTCTGGCTTTAAAGTACTCTTCTTTTGGCTCACAATTTGGGGAGTATTTCACACCAGAGCCACCTGTTATGAGGCACTCTTCAGCCCACATGTCTTAAGCTCATCTGCACTGAACCTGGTAAAGCCCCGCCTCTTCGAAACTGCATCTTCTGGCAACCAGAGAACTTACACTTGGCCCAGCCCAGAGACTCAATCAGTAATCATGGTATTTTGAAGTCAGCTTTCACATCATTCTTGGGCTTTATTTTGCTTCATGTGAACCCACTGGAGAGGGCACAGCAAAGGTACAGCGTGTAGGGCACTTGCCTTGCACACGGCTGACCTGAGCTTAATCCCTGGCATCCTATCTCAAGCACTATCAGGAGCAATTCCTGAGTCCAGAACCCCAGTAACACCTGAGCACTTCTGGGTGTGGCCCCAAACCAAAAGAAAAAAATCACGTTTTAGTCTTAGAAGGGAGAACTGCTTTTCCTCCAGAAGTATTGATTCTCCTCCTAAGTTAATGAAACTTGGATAGACCTGAGAATATTATTTCTCTTTTTGCTTGTTTTGAGATTTTGGCATTGTGACCAGCAAAGCTGGTCTGAAGAGTTGATCTGTCAGTAAACCTGGGAGGGTCTCTAGGGAGGGTCTCTTGGGAGGGTTGAGGAGGGTCGGGGAGGGTCGGGTAGGGTCAGGGTGGGTCTCCTCCCAGTGTACATAAGAGGTAGACTCCTGCGAGCCTTACGTGGTATCTGCCAGAGACCCGGAGAAGAGGCTGCAGTGCAGGACTCCATCAGACTTCCAGATTCTTCTACAACAAATCCATTCCTGAGACAATGGACCACTCGCACCATCACTCCGGGATGAGCACCATGGACCACACGGGCGCCCCGGCCCCTCCACCCCAGCCTCCAGCTACCACGGGGCCCCACTCCCACGGGGGCAGCGCACACACGATGCCCATGACCTTCTACTTTGGCTACAGGAACATGGAGCTGCTGTTCTCATGGTTGCTGATCGACTCGGCTGCGGCAATGGCCGTGGCTGTCGTGATTGTGTTTCTGCTGGCTCTGGGCTACGAGGGACTCAAGAGAGTCCGTGAGGGCCTTCTGCGCAAGGCCCAAGAGAGGCTCCGTGCCCAGTGCTTCCATTTCCCCAGAACTGACGGAACCCGCCCCAAGGAGACGCCCCGGCCGCAGCTGCTGAGCGCCACTCACCTCCGCCAGACGGTGCTGCACATGCTCCAGGTGGGCCTGAGCTACCTGCTGATGCTGACCGCCATGACTTACAACGCCTACTTCGGCTTGGCCTTGCTGGCGGGGGCTGGCATCGGCTACTGGCTCTTTGGCGGGAGGAAGACAGAGGACGTGGAGTCCCAGAACCATGACGTGAACGAGGTCGAGCTCCATAAGATTTGCAGCTGAAACTCTCCTGGCCTGCAGGAATGAGCAAGCTCTCACCTCCTGTCTCTCCTGAGCCCTCTGGATCTCAGCAGTTTTGAGTTTGACTGTGCTCAAGAGGCGACTGCTCCTGGACACTGTTTCCTGTGAGTGGAAACACTCACAGGAGATGAAGCCCCTGGACGCCCAACATCCTGGTCCATGTTCTGTGTCTTGTGTAATGCACGGACTCCATCTCTGGCTCCCGGGGGTTTATGCTTTCGTTTATGTATTGTGCTTATGATGGTTTCTTTTTTTTTGCCTTTAGTCCTGAAAATTATTGCCCACTGAACCCAGAACCCCAACTTCACAATAAAACGCTTGATCTTTTGGGCTCAATGAGTGGAAACTCTCTACAGCATGTCCTTGTGTGTGATGATCTGGCCAGAAATTTCTAGCATGCACACAGGGTGGGGTGTGAAGATCAGGAGGAGGGGCGCTGCCCATGGATTTGTGTTCTGGGGGAGGTTGGCTCTTTCTCGGGTTCCTGCTGCTCTTTGGTTTGCAATAATGTCAATTTGGGAAGATTCTCGCTTGTCCAGAGAGAACATAAGGGGTCGTTTGCGTGCAGTTAGCAGGGTTCAGTCCTGGTCTCTCAGGCTGTTGGACCCTCTTGGTACTGGTCCACACCCGATGGGGTATATTTAGAAATCTTATGTAGCAGCAGGGAGCATAAACACCAGACCTCTCAAGATTCTGCTCTTGGCATATGGGACATGGAGGATTAGAACTCACGATCCCACTCGTGCAAGGCAGGCATTCTCAGCCACAGTGCTCTATTGAAGTATTCCTCATTACTTTTGTTGAATGGGTTTTATTATTATTATTATTGTTATTATTATTATTATTATTACTGGCCACGTTTGTGTTGACAAGGACACCGACACATCCAACACCTCTTTTGTTGCATGTTCCGAGGAACAATTCTTCTCCAGTGTTGAAAAGGGCGTGATGAGATTGGTGCCTATTTGTCTCAGTCAGACCAATGATGTCGTACTAGATCTTTCACGCTTGTACCATCAGGTCCTCGATGGATGCATCTGATGCTAGCATTGAAAGTACAGAGGATCATTTTTGTCTTCCTTCGTTGTGGCAGCCTAGTTCGGCCTTGAGATCTTATTGGCCTCTCCTTTCTCCTCCTTCTCAATGCTGACATATTGGTGACACCTTCTGGGTCAGGGGAATGAGACCCATTATAATTACTGGTTTTGGCATATCGAATACACAACGGATAGCTTGTGAGGGTCTGCTGTGCGGGCAGAATTCGCTCGGTAGCTTGCCAGGCATTTCAAGAAGGATAGAGGCATTTGGGGCGACCTCTAATCGCCCTTGTAGGTGTTACCATATCTGAACCCTATCAAATATGGTAAGGCAATTCTGGAAGATGGGTATTTAGTGGAAGATGGGTATTATTAGACCGCGTGGTCGCCCACCTACCAGATGGTCAGACTTCTTCATCAAGATCATGAACAATCGGTTTGAGGGTCTTCATGTTCCTAGAGCGAACAGATGCCACTGGGCTACACTAGCACGCGACTGGGACAAATGAAGACGTTACTGGCGCCCGCTCGAGCAAATTGATGATTAACGGGAAGTCAAGTGATCAAGTGATTATTATTATTATTGTTATGATTGTTATTATTATTATTGGGCCAGAGCGACAATATAGCCGGTAGGGCATTTTCCTTGCACATGGCTGACCCAGGTTTGATTCCTCTGCCCCTCTTGGAGTGTTAGCAAGAATATCCCACCCGCACAACAGAGCCCAGCTTGCTCATTGTGGCGTATTCCATATGCCAAAGATCGTATCAACAAGTGTCACATGGAGTCGTTACTGGTGCCCACTCGAACAAATCAACGAACAGTGAAACAGTGCAGTGATATCATTATTAGTATTTGTTGGCTGGGGGCCACACCCGGTGATGTCCAAGGCTCTTCCTGAGGAATTACCTGTGGCGGTGCTAGGAGGATCATATCAGATGTCGGGAATCTAACCCAGGTCAGCAGCATGCAAGGCATATATCCTACCCTCAGTACTATGCCCCAAAGATTGTAATATTTGATCTTCACACCTGGTCACCCTTTCCTTGCAATTCAATTAGATGTGGCTTGCATTGCATGTGGCTGACCAAGGTTCAATCCTCAGCCCTCCATATGGTCTCCTGAGCCACCAAGGTTGATCCCCGATGAAAGAGCCAGGAGTAAGTGAGGAAGCCCTGAGCACAGCCAGGTTGGCCCCAACTCTACCTCTGCTCTCAAAAAAAAGGGTGGTTCTCCTACAGGACAAAACTAACCACTCACTCTCAAAGGCCCAACCCTAAAACCACAGCCAGAGTTGGATTTCGCACATCCACTTTCTTTGGCAAAAACCATTGAGTCACCAGCAATAGTTTCAGATTCATTTTGATTCACCTGGATATCAAGCTCAACAAGAGCCTTGTGCATTGAATTTTGATACATGGATCACTTCGAAGCAGGTAGGTTTTTCCATTTGTATTCCTCATTTATTTTAAGGGGCTGCGGTTTCCCCCACGGGACTGGAGCCAGCAGAGCAGTGCCAGGCTGTGTCTTGGAGGACATGGAAGGGACACAGCCCTGAGCCCAAGCACAGAAGTGGACCCAAGCCCTCATGACACCCTCCCCACCCACAGTTAGCATTATCTACCCATGAGGTGTTAGAAATTGTCTTTTCTATTTTCATTTGTTGTTCATTGATGGGTTGTTTATTCTGCTTGGCTTCTTAGTCGTGGTTGCTTTGGGGGCTACATGTTGGGATGCTCTGGGGGCAATCCTGGCTCAGAGCCCAGGGCTTTCCCCTAGGGTTCATGGAACCCTGCATTATTACTCTCTTTGCTGCTATTCTCTAGTTGAAGCATTGTCATAATTTTCCTTTTTGGACAGAAATGAGATATTTGCTTCAAGAACCTTGTTTTCTAAATCCTTCATCTCAGATCATTTATAATAACTATATCCCAAGTGTATGGTCACATTCTGGGACCATACTAGTTCTTTTGTAAACTAGTCACACATGTAGCATTTCTATGTTCAGATCTCCACTATTATCGGCTTGTATGATTTCTTTGGGGGTGGGGGGTTTCTGGGGGTGGTAGAACCACACTCAGTGATACACAGGGACGATCCCTGGCTCAGTGCTCAGGAGTGGCTCCTGCAGAGCTCAAGGCACATTCCGTGTTGCTAGAGGCCAAAGGCTCTGGTTGCTTGCAAGAAAGGCAGGTACCTTATTTCCTGCACTTTGTCTGTGGTCTCAAGTTTGTAGGATTTATATGCGGGCAGTCAAGTGTAGTAACATGCTGCCTCGGTTGTGCATGGTCTCTCTCTGGCTCTAATGTATTCTGCCTTTGTGCCTCAATTCTCTGTCCAGTGGCCCACAATTTGGGGAGTATTTTACCCAACAGGCACCTGGAATGAGGCGCTCTTCAGCCCCCATGTCTTAAGCTCATCTGCACTAAGCCTGGTAAAGCCCCGCCTCTTCGAAACTGCATCTTCTGCAACCAGAGAACTTACACTTGGCCCAGCCCAGAGACTCAATCACAATAATCGTGGTATTTTGAAGTCAGTTTTCGCATCATTCTTGGGCTTTATTTTGCTTCATGTGAACCCACTTGAGAGGGCAGAGCAAAGGTACAACGGTTAGGCCACTTGCCTTGCACACGACTGACTTGGGTTCAACCTCTGGCATCCTATCTCAAGCACTGCCAGGAGCAATTCCTGAGTGCAGAACCTCAGGAACCCCAGAGCATCTCTGGGTATGGCTCCAAACCAAAAGAAAAAAACGTCACATTTTAGTCTCAGAAGGAAGAACTGCTTTTCCTCAAGAATGATCAATTCTCCCCCTACGTTAATGAAACCTGGATAGGCTAAGAATATTATTTCTCTTTTTGTTTGTTTTGAGATTTTAGCCATTTTGACCAGCAAAGCTGGTCTGAAGAGTTGATCTCCCAGTCAACTAGGGAGGGTCTCTTGGGAGGATCTCTTGGTTGGGTCTCTAGGGAGTGTCAGGGAGGGTCAGGGTGGGTCTCCTCCCAGTGAACATAAGAGGCAGGACTCCTTCGAGCCTTACCTTGGTGTCTGCCAGAGAACCTGAGAAGAGGCTGCAGTGCAGGACTCTATCAAACTTCCAGAATCTTCTACGACACATCCGTTCCTGGGACCATGGACCACTCACACCATCACTCCGGGATGAGCGCCATGGACCACACCAACGCCCCGGCCCCTCCACCCCAGCCTCCGGCCACCATGGGACCGCACTCCCACGAGGGCAGCGCGCACACGATGCCCATGACGTTCTACTTCAGCCACAGGAACGTGGAGCTGCTGTTCTCAGGGCTGCTGATCGATTCTGTTGCGGTCATGGCCGTGGCTGTTGTTGTCGTGTTTCTGCTGGCCCTGGGATACGAGGGACTCAAAAGAGTCCGCGAGGGGATTCATGCCCAGTGCTCAGCTTTCCCCAGACCCGACGGAGCCCGCCCCAAGGAGACGCCCCAGCCGCAGCTGCTGAGTGCCGCTCACCTTCTGCAGACGGCGATGCACGTGCTCCAGGTGGGCCTGAGCTACCTGCTGATGCTGACTGCCATGACCTACAACGCCTATTTCGGCTTGGCCTTGCTGGCGGGGGCTGGCATCGGCTACTGGCTCTTTGGCGGGAGGAAGGCAGAGGACGTGGAGTCCCAGACCCATGACGTGAACAAGATTGAGCTCCATGAGATTGGCAGCGGAAACTCTCCTGGCCTGCAGGAATGAGCCCTCACCTCCTGAGTGGAAACACTCACAGGAGATGAAGTCCCTGGACGCCCAACATCCTGGTCCACGTTCTGTGTCTTGTGTAGTGCACGGACTCCATCCCTGGCTCCCCAGGGTTTATGCTTTCATTTATGTGTTGTGCTTGTGATGGTTTCTTTTTTTCCCTTTCATCATGAGAACTGTTGCCAAGTGAACCAAGAACCCAAACTTCACAATAAAATGCTTGATCTTTTGGGCTCAATGAGTGGGAACTCTCTACAGCGTCTTCTTGTGTGTGATAATCTTGCCAGGAATTTCTAGCATGCACACACGGTGGGGTGTGAAGATCAGGAGGAGGGGCGCTGCCCATGGATGTGTATTCTGGGGGAGGTTGACTCTTTCGCGGGGGTCCTGCTGCTCTTTGGTTTGCAATAATCATGTCAATTTTGTAAGATTCTCACTTGGCCAGAGAGAACATAAGGGGGTCGGGTGCTTGCCTTGTGTGCAGTTAGCAGGGTTCAATCCTGGTCTCCCAGGCTGTTGCACCTTCTTGGTACTGGTCCATACCTGATGGGGTATATTTGGAAATCTTATGTAGCACCGGGGAGCATAAACACCAGAGCTGTCAGATTCTGCTCTTGGCATATGGGACATGGAGGATTAGAACTCACAACCCCACTCGTGCAAGGTAAGCGTTCTCAGCCACAGTGCTCTACTGAAGCATTCCTCATGACTTTTGTTGTAGGGGTTTTATCATTATTATTATTGTTGTTGTTGTTGTTGTTATTATTATTATTATTATTATTATTATTGGGCTAGAGCGATAGCATAGCCAGGTAGGGCATTTTCCTTGCACACGGCTGACCCAGTTTCCATTCCTCTACCCCTCTCGGAGGATTACCGAGAGTATCCCACCCGCACGGCAGAGCCTGGCTTGCTCATTATGGCATATTCAATATGCCAAAAACAGTAACAACAAGTCTCACAATGGAATCGTTACTGGTGCCCACTTGAACAAATCAATGAAAAACAGGAGGACAGTGCTACAGTGCAGTGCTATCATTATTAGTATTAATTGACTTGGGGGTTACACTCAGGGAGGTCCAAGACTTTGAGAAATGACTTCTGGCAGTGCTAGGGGGACCATATCGGGTGTCGGGAATCTAACCCAGGACAGCAACCTGCAAGGCATATGTCCTACCCTCAGTACTATGCCCCAAAGGCTGTATTATTTGATCTTCACACCTGCATGTGGCTGACCAAGGTTCAATCCCAGGTCCTCCATATGGTCTCCTGAGCCCACAAAGGGTGATCCAAGATGAAAGAGCCAGGAGTAAGTGAGGAAGCCCGGGTTGGCCCCAAATAGCCCCTTGCCCTCACAAAAAGGGTGCTTCTTCTACAGGACAACACTAACCAGTCACTCTCAAAGGCCCAACCCTAAAACCATCACAGCCAGATTTGGATTTTGCAAAAATTTCTTTGGCAATAACCATTTAGTCCTTTCCATTCCCTGTCCTTTCACCACTGTGCATTTTCTACCACCAATGTGACCCGTTTCCCTCTTTCCAACCCTCATTCCCAGTCTATTTCTACGGCAGGCACTTTTCCTCTCTCTCTCTCTTTCTATCTTTCTCTCTCTCTTTCTATATATTTCTTCCTCTCTTCTTTTGGTCACTATGGTTTGTGATATAGTTGGTAGGGCGTTTGCCTTGCATGTGGCCAACCTGGGTTCAATTCCTCTGTCCCTCTTGGAGAGCCCAGCAAGCTACCGAGAGTATGCCACCTGCATGGCAGAGCCTGGAAAACTCCCCGTGGCATATTCAATATGCCAAAAACAGTAACAAGAAGTCTCACAATGGAGACATTACTGATGCCCTCTCAAGCAAATTGATGAACAACGGGAGGACATTGCTCCAGGACAGTGCCACAGTGCTAACCATTCAGTCACTGGCAATAGTTTCAGATTCATTTTGATTGACCTGGCTATCAAACTCAACAAGAGCCTTGTGCATTGAATTTTGATATATGGATCACTTCAAAGCAGACAGGTTTTTTCATTTCTATTCCTCATTTATTTTGAGGGGTTGGGGTTTCCCCCCACGGGACTGGAGCCAGCAGAGCAGGGCCAGGCTGTGTCTAGGGGGCCATGGAAGGGACAGAGCCCTGGCCCCAAGCACAGCAGAGAAACACGCGCTCTTCTGACACCCTCCCCGCCCTCAATCAGCATTTCTACCCATGAGGTGTTAGAAATTGCCTTTCTTTTTTCATTGGTTGTACATTGGTGGGTTGTTTACTGTGCGTTGGCTTCTTTGTCGTGGTTGGTTTGGAGGCTACATGTTGGGATGCTCTGGAGGTAATCCTGGCTCAGGACTCAGGGCTTAATCCTAAAAGTGTTCAGGGAGCCCTCCATAATTACTGTCTTTGCTGCTATTCTCTTGTTGAAGTATTGTCATAATTTCCTTTAGATTTTTTTTCTACAGAAATGTGATGTTTGCTTCAAGGACCTTGTTTTCGAAATCCACCATCTCGAATCATTTATAATAACTATTCCCCAAGTATATGGTCACATTTTTTCTGTTCTTTTGGAAACTAGTCACACATATAGCATTTCTGTGCTCAGATCTCCACTATTGTCTGCTTGTGTGATTTTATGTGTTTATTTTTTGGGGGGTTTTGGGGGTTGTAGAACCACACTCGGTGATACTCAGGGATGAGCCCTGGCTCTGTGTTCAGGAGTGACTCCTGCAGAGCTCAAGGCACATTCCGTGTTGCTAGAGGCCAAAGGCTCTGGTTGCAGGCCAGAGCCAGTAAGGCAGACACCTCATTTCCTGCACTATGTCTCTGGTCCCGAGTTTGTAGAATTTATGCGTGGGCAGTCAAGTGTGGTAACGTGCTGCTTACATTGTGCTTGGTCTCTCTGGCTTTTGTGTACTCTTCTTTTGTGTCTTAATTCTCTGTCCAGAAGCCCACAATTTGGGAGGTATTTCACTCCAGAGCCTCCTGGAATCAGGCGCGTGTCAGTCCCATGTCTTCAAGCTCATCTGCACTAAACCTGGTAAAGCCCCACCTCTTGGAGACTGGATCTTCTGGCAACCAGAGAACTTACATTTGGCCCAGCCCAGAGCCTCAATCACAATAATCGTGGTATTTTGAAGTTAGCCTTCTTCACAACATTCTTGGGCTTTATTTTACTTCATGTGAACCCATTTGAGAGGGCAGAGTGATGGTACAGCAGGTAGGACACTTGCCTTGTACACGACTGACTTGGGTTCAATCTCTGGCATCTTATCTCAAGCACTGTCAGGAGCAATTTCTGAGTGCAGAACCCTAGGAACCTCTGAGCATCTCTGGGTGTGGCCCCAAACCAAAAGAAAGAAAAAGATCACATTTAGTCTCAGAAGGATCAATTCTCTTCCTATGATAATAAAACCTGCATAGAGCTGAGACTATTATTTCTCTTTTTGTTCATTTTGAGATTTTAGCCTTTGTGACCAGCAAGTCTGGTCTGAAGATTTGATCTCTCAGTCAGGGTCTCTAGGGAGGGTCTGTAAGGAGGGTTAGGAAGGGCCTTGGAGGGATGGGGAGGGTCTCTTACCAGTGTACACACAAAAAAATTTTAATACACAAAAGTAATTTATAACTTATTCAAATCAAACACAACATTTTATATAGAAATACATGTATGTACATATATTATGCATATACATGTTTCAAATGCATAAACTTACGAATGATAAGTTGAGAATGAGTAGTTACCATTTACCTGCAGAAACAGCAGTAATAATTTTTAATTTTGGTAAGGAGTGATAGCACAGGGGGTAGGGCATTTGCCTTGCATATGGCCAACCCGGGTTTGATTCCTCCACCCCTCTCAGAGAGCCTGGCAAGCTACCAAGAGTATCGCTCCCGCATGGCAAAGCCTGGCAAGCTCCCCGGATGTATTTGATATGCCAAAGACGATGACAACAAGTCTCACAATGGAGACGTTACTGGTGCCTGCTCGAGCAAATCGATGAACAACAGGAGGACAGTGCTGCAGTGCTACAAGGAGTGGTAGGATTGTTTGTGTACTGCTCTGCATAGACAGTGGTAACTTCCTATATCTTCTCTACAAAGTAACTGATTGGTCATACTAAATCTTAAAGTGTTCTATGCTTTTTCTTTCTAAATTCTTTTTATAAGCATACCCTAAAATTCAAAGAAACAAAGTACTAAGCTTTTTCTCCCTAATTTTTTCTGAAAGTAAAAATATTTTTATTAGGGAAATATGAAAAATATGTAGACAGGAAATATTATGCTACCAGCAAATGACTCTCACAAACTTTTTTAAAAATTTTTTTTAAATTTTCTTATTAGTGAAACACCATGAGGTACAGTTATAGACTTACAAATTTTTGTGCCTCAGTTTCAGTTTTACAATGATCAAGTACCCATCCCTCCACCAGTGCCCATCAAGGAAGTGAGGAAATGCACAGTATATGGGCTGGAGTGATAGCACAGCGGTAGGGCGTTTGTGTTGCGCACAGCCAGCCTGGCCGAGCCAGGTTCGATTCCTCCGCCCCTCTCGGAGAGCCCGGCAAGCTACCGAGAATATCTCGTCCGCACGACAGTCTGGCAAGCTCCCCGTGACATATTCAATACGCCAAACACAGTAACAGCAAGTCTCAAAACAATGGAGATGTTACCGGGCCCGCTCTAGCAAATCGATGAACAACGGGAGGACAATGGTAAGGAATGCAAGGGGACATTATATACATATATGTTGATATGTAAGTTATTCTTCCTAAGTACAACTTCTTGCACTAGATCTCGGTGACACCAAACAGTGACTGACAAAAAGACGCACATGCACGCGTGTGCACACACACACACACACACGCATGCAGTCACACACACATATGCACGCACAGACATTTACATGGAATACAGGCCTCCCTAAATTCACCACAGGCTTTTTTAGTACTTACTATTTTCAGGTTGATGATTTCGAGCCGGAATCAACGAAGATTCTTTAGCTGAGA